AAAAATGCAACAATTGCTGTTGCCAGGCAGACCGAGAGGGTGGAGCCGCTAACAAATACACACACAGGCTCACGACAGCATTGTGACATCATAATGTACCAGTTTACATCATAGCATACCTCTTAGCCAATAGTGGTGGCAGATTTAAATTCAAATACAGTGCAGAGTTTTTACCTGACAACGGCACAACACTGACAGTTTTAGGCAGAATATTTAAATTTTAACTAATATGCACTGAAGTGCCAAATTATTGACGACACGTGTCTGCAGCATGATTAGACACTCGTTTATTTAGTTTATCAGCAAAAAAAAAGTTGATTTGGGGGTGACTTGCTCTTTAAAGCTGCCTGTTGTAATTATAGGAACAAGAGTCCTGGTTATGAAGTATTGCCCTTATTTCTGGTCCCGTTTAGCTGGACATATTAATTATGAGCAAACAAACTGCTCCATAAACCATTTAGGGATTCGTGTTTGCGTGTGTGTGCTGTAGTTTTCATGCTAATGCTGCATCGACTGATCCTTTCAGCTGTGAGGGATTGTGTCAAAGACTTTGCGTGTTGAATTGCGTAAACCAGTTAATGACAGACGAGTTCAGCCATCTCAGCAGCATAAGGAAACACAACAATTCATCTATTTTCAGGTGAAGAACGAGGATCTAGTTGCATTCTTGAAAAATTCTCAAGAAAGGACCCATATTCCTGTCTTCTATTTCTCAGGATGTCATTTCTCCCCAAGTTTCTAAGACAATGAATAAGGCTGATTTATTAACACAATGAAACATGTCTGCCTCAAAAACATGATAAACAACATAAAATATGCATTAAAGAAAAGTTGTGGAACATTTATGGTTGGTAATGAAAACAGAACCTTATGAAAGTACATTTGTCGAATTGGGATTTTCCTCGGGCTGTTGACTGTCATCTTCTCGTTGTTTTTCCACATCCTCTCCACCACCAAATACACAACATAACTCAGATCCATTTCACCTTAACAACTGCATCAGTGGCTCCCATCTCACGGAAAACAGCAATTCTGCTCCCATGCAGGCATTTTGATGCACGCCCATCAACAAACCAATCCCTTTCACTGTCTCTGGCTGGCTCACATATATCTTCCATATTCTAAAATTAATTCCATCTTAAAGAACCTCTGAAGATGTCTGCGTCGAACACACACCATCTATCACCGACTGTCACCGTCTGATTGTTTTTCTGGACTCCAGCAGTGAAAAATCTGGAATATTTATACATCAATATGACAAAAACCAAGGAGCTCATGCTGAGAAAAAAAAAACAATCTCTGGAACACGTAAACGGATTATTACATATTAATTTCTGGTGACATACATTCACGTCTAATACTTGATAAACCCAAAGAAAATAGGTGCTTTTTGTTTTTGAACCATTTCATAACTGATGAAATGTAACTCTCTTTACTTTTTCTGGCCTTTTGTAGGAGTGTGTATTGGAATCCAGGGATACGATTTATACCTCACTACAGGGGAGTCCATATACCGCGATACTAAAAGTCAGATGATATTTGCGGTTTTTGTCTACATCCCTAGTCCGTTGTGTTTTTTAATCAGAAATCCAAAGAGGTTTTAAATGAAGACAACTGGACTTCTTTAGTTTCTTGAAGACATTTTGCTTCTCATCCGAGGAGCTTTGTCAGTTCTGACTGGAACATGGGAGGATGAAGCTTATAAACTGTAGCTGGCTATTGTTGCTTAACGAGCAAGGGATCAGCTTATCAAAAGAAAACATTGTGAGCGTGGCGTCGACTACAATAAAAATAAAGTTATGTCAGAGATGAATGGAAGTCTGCAGCAGCGCAGAGACCGCCCCATGCCTCCTTTATACTGCCATCGCGTAATCTTTTGTAAAGAGGACACTGTTGCACCACACTACCGCCACGACGACGTTGTAGCAAATTGGCAGCATTGTTTTCTAAAAGAGGCTAATATGAATCCTGGACATATTTATAAGAGGACTGTTAGAATGAAGCCTGAGGCTCGTCTGGCTTTTGTCTTTTATCCTGATGATATTCATTTGTATTCATAAGCTGCCCTAAATAAAACTCCAGCATGGCAGAAAAACCCAGATTATTTTATCTGCCTTGACAATCAACACCCATTCATCAGTTTATTTATTCTTTATCCGCCATCTTTATGGAGTTACTTAGCAGCTCAACTGTTGTTGATCTATTTATTACCATTCAATAATAAATCACAAAAGATGTTTATAAGTCACTTTTAAGTGGGAAACGATTCCTGTAAAATAATTAATAAATATTCATGTATTAACTGCATATTAATCAGAGCTGCTGCTTTCAAATCGGTATGGATGCAGTTTTATCCCCGAAGGTTCGATTATGGTGACATTTAGAGGAAACCAACCAGGAGGCAGTGAAAGCACTGGGAATTCTGGGATGTGTCTTGCAGAAATGATGTTTGCATTTTACATCCTCTGAGATTTGGACTCTTGTCTTACGGCAGAGCAGAGATTATTTGACTGAGCTTGTTCTGTGCGACCTTGGGTTTTTTCTTCTCAGCACTCACTGTCATAGTTCACTTTCACCGCCTTAGTCCCGCGTGCAGGAAGCTGCTCATTTTTCCATTTAATTCATGTCTTCCCTCTAGATTTAACCAGCAGCTGAGTTGTGCTTTTCAGGTGAACCTGAAACAAAGCTAAAAATGTTCTGATGAGGTGAGATTTGACAGCGAGATGGTTGACAGAACCTTAATAAAGATCCAACAGCTGCAGCTTTCCGGAAGTTCTCTAACAGAATCACGTTGATAAAAGCTGCTCCTCCATCACCCAGCTTCTTTGTGGTAAAAAAAAAAAAAGGAAACCACTTTCACGGCCAGAGTTGGCAAAGAGAACAATGTTCTTTCATAATGAATGGTTGTCATTACTGTCATCATTGAACCCTCAATTAAAGGAGATGCGCCTCTTTTTCCACAAGCATTCATTAATTCCTCAGAGCTTAATGGAAGGTTGGGAGCTACAGATTTAGAGGATTGTTGTATTCATAAGGACACTAAACAAGGTGCCGGGATTAGAAGTATTTCTAAATTTCATTCATATTTATATCACTTCACAAAAAAACTCATTTTATATGATGGGACCCTTTGTCTAAAACGCTCTTAAAGCATGTTTGAGAGATGTCAGCAACACACACAGGTGCAGCTTCTCAAGAAGAATCTGCTTCTCGGCTCTCCTTGATTTAATTATCATACAAAAGGTTCTGGATGTTCTTGAGTTGGCTGAAAGATGAGCTGATTACAAATGAGCAGCTGGTGAATGCAAAGTCTGATTTCTGTAGCAAAACAGATTGTGACAAAGTACAAAAGATGAAAGAAGATAAAAATGTTGATGCATTTATCTGGCCTGGCTTCAGGGATTAATCTGCACCCAGCAAATAAACTTTAATTTAATGCTCATAATCGTCTTTAATGCCCAGATAACATAAAACTACAATAAACAGGCTGCAGTTTTTAAATTTTGTCAGAGAAACATCAAAGAGGATCAGGCTGCAAAAAAAAGTTATTCCAGCCCTTCTAATCCCTAGAAGGGCACAGATTTAGTTTTTGTGCAACATGAGTCTATCTGGCTCACAGCACCAGTAAAATAATCTTTATTCCTAAAATCCGTTCATCTTTGTGCACAGCTGGAATCAGCCTCGAACTTTTTAGTTCATTTCTGAAGGCGGGGGAGGAGCCGATGAGCAAATTATGAATGAAACAAAATAAAATAGTAACAAACAAATTACAATAAGAATATTTGCAATTAGTCAGAAGCTGCATAATAATCCCCTTGTGACCTTGCCATAAAATTATTGCATGTTCAAATTCAGTGTGAAAATGCCCCCCGGCAACAGTCTCTGTGCTGTTTCTAACGGTGAGATACCAACTTAACGCACCCAACCATCCATTCAATAATTAGCTGAATGATTTATTTTCAGTGTGTAAAATGATGAATCCACTGGAGGGTAGTGAGATCAGGCGTTTTATAGTTCAGGTAACATTAAACAACAAACGCTCCCTCCTCCACTCCATCCTCAAAGCATCCGTCTTCTCGGAGACAAATGAAGACATTACTGTCCCTCGTCCTTGACGTGCAGGTAGGGATCTGAATGGCTCTTGAGGTGTAAATGACCCAGCAACAATTTAAATCCATTCTTCCACTTGAGGATCTGCTCTGATGAATTGAACCAGTTGGACACAGAAGCATTTATAGAACAAGACGCTGCTTCTAATTCAAGACGTATTCTTGTCTTTAGGAGATTTTCACCGCTTGAACCAGTAATTCCCCTCAGATTCCTGATAAGTCCCACACACAGCTCTGATGTGCATACTTTTTCCAAATAGAAACACAAAAGCTGAATCATTTCAAGTCATGAAGGTGACAAGAGGTTTTTACGATGACATCAGTACCTTTGAAAAACCAATTCCTTGATGGATCGGTGTTAGGATGAGGATAAACCTTCCCACTAACGTGTCTGGGATTGGTTTTCTGCCAGTAGACAGACTGATGTGACAGTTATTATCCTAAATATCTCATCTCTACTCAGCATTCAGTGTCACAACCTCATATTTCTATTCATGGTTTATTCTATCTACTTATGCCTCTGGGAAGTGCTGATAAACAAACAAAGAGTATTAGTGACGTAGAAAAGAGCTTTAACGTCACTTCCTGTTCGGGTTTGCGGGTTTAATTCTCAGGCAGCTGTCATTCAGACTGACAGACGTTGGGGATCGGAATGATGTAATCCTAAGCATCATTACATCATTCTGCATCACCTCCCCTAACGCCCCCCCTCCCCCATTTCCAATCCAAGGTCACATCCTGACAGGAGAGGTAATTTGTGAGATTGGAGTCCCTGCGGAGAGGCATCTTTGATCCTGTGTTTTGATTAATGAGCTGCAGATTGGTTTGTGATGTTACTACAGGTTCATTTGAGTTACTTAATTTTGCTTCTTTCTCCCATTTTCCCACCAGTTCGTTACCTGCTGAGGAACAACGTGAGTCCAGACCTCTGTAACGAAGATGGCCTCACTGCTCTGCATCAGGTAGGTTCAACTACTTCCACCTGACTTCTGATTCATACGTTTAACCTAGAACAATCACATGAACCCACCTAAAGAAAATTATGCAACAGTTAAATTGTCAGAGATGGAGAATGTAGATGCCAGAGGAAACAAGAGAGCACTAAACATCAGTTGCTGTTTTCGATACCCAAACGTCTTTTGTTGTCCGTGACTTCAAATGTATTAATAGGTATTCTATGTTAGAGCATTAAGAGGCATGAAAAAAAAGTTTAAAGCTAATTTGTTTTCAAAATTTGCTATTGCAGCTTTAATTCTGGTTTAACCCTCCCACTGTCCTAATGGGTGTGACCCTGCGAGGAAAGTTGACCATTGAGCAGGGTTGATGGTTCATCCCTTGGGTCCACGTGGCAGGGGTGAGGAGTGAGCACCACCTCACCCCTGCCACGTGGACCTCAAGGGATAAACCATCAATCCTGCTCAATGGTCAACTTTCCTCGCAGGGTCACCCATGAAGACAGTGGGAGGGTTGAAGAGCTCTGAGTTTAACATGCAGGGTGAACGTGAAAATAGTCTTCTACATCGATTTCCTGCATAGCAGATAGACGGAAAATCACTCGGTTCAGAAACGTCTGACATATCTACGTCACACTGTCTTGACTCACAATGAGCAAGGTTGTTGTTGGTTTAGCGTCCAGGTAACAGCAGAGAATTTCTTTACTTTTACAAGCTAACCGTTAGCATTAGCAACTTCACAACACAGCTCCTTCAGGCTTGTGTTATTGTCGTGTTGTTTTTAGTCAATCAGAGATGAGATGCCCAAATATCAGAAAATATGTATCCAAATCCTGCTATCTTCTAGCACTTTCTCCTCTGGCTGCCTTCTATGTCCTCAAACAGGAGCATCTAAAACCAGACTACAGCTTAGCAAGCATTCATTCCTACTAGAGACCACTGCAAAGGAATTTAAAATATGAGTAAATTTGACCTTTAAAGCTTTTAATAACTTACATAAAATAATTATTCAACTTTAAAATGTCTAAAATTCTTAATTTACAAATGGAAATAAACAGTTAAAAGTTTTGCTGACTTGTGCTTTAGCAGAAATCTCTACAACACTTCAGTGGGAACAATCGTTCTCTCAAAACAAGTTTTACCTATTATGGGGTAATTAGCTGAGTTGTATTTATTTATTCATTTGGGGGGGTGGGGGTGGGGGGGGGTGTAACTAATGATTGTGATCACTGATATCATCTCCACCAAATCCAGCATTTAACTGTAATATCGTGACTGTTTGATGGTTGGGGGGGGGGGGGGGGGGGTCTGGGCTAAAGTGAAATGTCAATTGAGAATCTTGATTTCAGTTCTTGAGGGGGAGATGAAGTCTTTCTTTTAGGATTTCTACTCAAGTGTGGCTGTGATGTCCTTTTTCACTCCATCCATTCCTCCCCTTTTCTCATTTTACCCCCCTTTGGAAAACACGGCCATATCTCTTCCTCTTGGCTGTTCAAAGCTCAATATTCACACTCCAGCTGAGAGGCAGTGAAATGAACAGAGGAAAAGAAAATTGAAGTCCATCAGTCACCAGCAGTGTGACTGGTGTTTTAAACACTGCCAAGAGATCAGAATGACCTTTCGGCTTTGAATGGGACTTCTGATTATATCCTGCTCAGATGGGCCGGCCTCAGACCCTCTTATTGTTGGATTTTTCAGAAAGCCACTGCACAGATACAGGAGGTGTGTTAGGAGGCCCTTTTTCCACTCCGTATTTAGTGATGCAATCTGCTGTCCTCATGACACCAGTAATGTTTTCGTCACACAAACCGAAGTGGTGACAGAAGGTGAGAAAATGAGGAAGTGTTTCCTTAAATGAGATGTTGGATATGTCCAGAGCCGATCTCACCTAAGTGATACGAGACATCAATCAGCACAAGGCTTCCAGGGTCACTGTTTGCATGGCGTACAATCACAAACACATAAAAAATACGTTTTTATTCTCTCCTTCCTGTCGGAGCGACGCTAGCGCTCTGGAATTACTTCACTTATAATCATTTGATGGATTATTGATGTCAGGTGTGCAAAAGACAATCAAAACAAACAAAAACGGTTTAAAAAAGCTACAAAAAAGTGCACATTTTGTGTTTTCATACAAGAATGTTAGGAAATATAACACAGAGCTGAGTTTTTCAATAAAATTCAGTCTTAATAATCGTAAATATCATCTCATCTGTAGTGTGAACACCCCTATTTTCATATCCGTTTTCTTTTGTTTGTGGTTTTCTCATCAATTTATGCTCTCTGTCTTCAACAGAACAAGGTTTGTTGATCATAACTCGGAATAAAAAGACACAAATATAACTTTATTTAAAGGATTTGACTTTAGGTGGCTTTTCTTTTTTCTTTATTTGTCTTTCCAGATCTAAAGAACATCCCTCACCATGATACTGCCGTCACCTTGTTTGACTGCAGGAAAGATGTTTACATGCTTTAGAATTTGTTTCAGGCATCTTTTGGTAAATTTGTTAATGAAAATGAGTTTCTCTTTGACCTCTGGGCCACAAAGGTCGGGCTTCTAATGTAACGTGTGTGCTGTTCAGTCTGGATTTCATCTAATCAGAAAGCCCTAGGGTATTGTTTTAGGTGTAAAGCACATTTTTGTTGTTGAAAGCAGAAGCTGACACACCTGCCTCGTGTTGACCTACATTTGGTGGAGCCACAGCTGTTTTCTGGCTGTTAACTCTCGTATTTCATTGTGTGTGTTTGACTGGAGAGGTTGGTTGGGGCCTGGTGACCCAGAGCACCAATGCAGCGCTAGAGTTAAAACATTTGCACGTCATTTCTGTTGCTCAAATATTCATGCAGAGATGACAGATGGTCCTGCCGTTTGGAGCCTGTGCAGCATTTGAAGATGCTGAGCTGTGAACCTCTGTAGTCCTGTGCGCTTATTTTTTATTAGTTATTCAGCTTTTCATTACTTCAGACCCACAAGCATCGTGTTCTCACTCTTTGCCCTGCAAGCTCAGCGATAAGCAGCACTTTGAGCCCCCTCTGATCCCTATTAATGATTTGTTATTTTTATTTATTCTGGTGAAATCTGTTGCAGTTGACCACTGACGTCGTGTCAAGAGGAAACCGATTCAGCACCTTTTTTTTATCTGTTGGGTCTCACCTCTACCCGTGGAGCTGCAGAGTCTCGTGAATCATGATAAATGGCCTGAGTTTGTTCAGCTCCGGTAAAATTTAGAGCCTATTTAAGCTCTTATTGCTGGTAGCCGCAGCTGCACTCGTATTCACCTGGCCCTGCTCACTTATCACCTCCGTAATTCAGTTTTAGTGCCATCTTTGTTGCCAGCAGCCCACTTGGCATTAGCCTCGATCAACATTCATCCATTTAAGATTCCAAATGTCAGCCTCTCATTCGCTCCCTGAACCGCTGCCCTCTCAGCCCGCTGGGAAGATTGTCACCGTTGTTTTCCAGCTGCACACTGATAACCCGGGTCTTTATTTGGGCCAAACCTTTATGCTCATGCCCCAAATCTTTGCTCCAAGCTCATTTGTGGGCAAAAGTATGAATCTTCTTTTATTTGTTTTTATTTATTTTTTTGTTGTGTTCCTTCAGGCAATGATGCTAGGAAATATTTTACCAACAGTGTTGTCATAGTTACCTTGAAATAGTAATTGGATTACTGACTGCTGATTACTCCTTCCAAAAGAAACTTAGTTTCCGGGGTCAATGGGGCCGCTACTCGAGATGCAAAATGAACACTAACAAAAGATAGCACCATCAGAACACTGAACATGAAACAAACTACAGCCAGCACAACCCTAACATTAAAACCCAGGAAAACACCTGAGAACACAACAAAATAGGACAAAACAACTGAAAACCAGCTATCCACAATGCAACGTGCCTATTGTCTGTTCTGCAGTGGGTAGGGTCACTAGTGACACTAGTGACTGCTGAACAAGCAGTGGGAAAGGTGCATTGTGGGTAGCTGATTTTCAGTGGTTTTGCCTATTTTGTTTTGTATCTGTGTTTTCAGGTAGAGGCCGACATATTCAATTTTTTCTATATTGGCCATCGATTGAAATTATTTTTAACTCATGTCCAGGAGGCATCCTGACCAGATGCCCGAGCCACTTCAACTGGCTCCTCTCAATGAGGAGGAGCAGGGAATCTACTCCGAGCCCCTCCCGGATGACCGAGCTTCTCACCCTATCTCTAAGGGAGAGCCCAGCTACTTTGCGGAGAAAACTCATTTCAACCACTTGTATCTGCGATCTCGTTCTTTGGTCACTATCCAAAACTCATGACCATAGGTGAGGGTAGGAACGTAGATCGACCGGTAAATCGAGAGCTTCGCTATCTGACTCAGCTCTCTCTTCACCACGACAGACACAACGCCCGCATCACTGTAGATGCAGCACCAATCCGCCTATCGATCTCATGTTCCAGTTTTCCCTCACTGGTGAACAAGACCCCGAGATACTTAAACTCCTCCACTTGGGGCAGGACCTCATCTCTGACCTGGAGAAGGCATTCTACCCTTTACCGAATCAAGACCATGGTCTCAGATTTAGAGGAGCCGATTCTCATCCCAGCTGCTTCACACTTGGCTGTGAACCGCTCCAGCGAAAGCTGAAGATCACGTTCTGATGAAGCCAACAGGACATCTGCAAAAAGCAGAGACCTGATCCTCAGGCCACCAAAATGGATGCCCTCCAAACCTTGGCTGCACCTAGAAATTCTGTCCATAAAGGTTATGAACAGAATCGCTGACAAAGGGCAGCCTTGGCGGAGCCCAACTCTCACTGGGAACGAGCCCGACTTACTGCCGGCAATGCGGACCAAGCTCTGACACCGGTAATACAGGGACCTAACAGCCCGTTCAGAGGGCCTGGTACCCCATACTCCCGGAATACCCCCCACATGGCCCCCCGAGGGACACGGTCAAACACCTTCTCCAAATCCACAAAACACATGTAGACTGGTTGGTCAAATTCCCACTCATCCTCCAGGATCC